GGAATGGTATCCCAGCGGCTCTGCAGGAGTCTGATGTCTTCTAAGGATTCTCTTGGACAATTCTCAGAGCTGGGATTTCTGGGCAGCTACTGGGATGACCTTTGAATTCGACCAGCAGAGGGCGGGAAGGAGACCTTGTGTCCTGCAGGGAGAGAGAGATATCCTGGGGTGAGGCAGGACCAGGGCACCTTGGTCACACGCCGAGACCCTCACCTACCCAGCGGCAGGGGGAGCAGGGCCTGCGAGGGCCACAGTTTGGCCTCCAAAGGTGGGGCCCGGGGCCCTGCTTGGGCTGTGACTTCAACTGTCACGTGGTCCTTGGAGAAGGTGAAACTGAGTTTGTTCCCCAGGTAGGAGAAGCCAATGAGATGCACTCCAGAGACACCGGCTGGGCACAGGGGGTCAAAGGTCACACCTGCCTCAGTGACCCTGCGGGGAGAGCTGGGTGAGGACATGCATGTGGGAGGAGGTGGCCACTCTGCTGGCCACTGTACTCACCTAAACCCTGTGCATCCGAAAAGCACTGCCTGCAGGAAGCCCCCCATGCCCGTCAGGAAGTTCACGGCACCCGACCCGTCCGCATTCTCTGTCCACACCTGGAAAAGCCAAGGGTGGCAGGCAGGGACGCCCAGGCCAGTGGCCCTCCTAGGCCTGCTGTTCCAAGGTCAGGCAGGAGTGACCAGAGCTGAGACCCTGTTGAGACTCCCACCAAGGGCTCAGGAGGGGTGAGCAGGGGGCAGGAGTTCTGCTGACCTTGAAGGGCTCAGTGATGTAGGCGAAGCTTCTGTCCAGAAAGCCCCGCACCCTAGCTGGGTCCTTCAGTTCCATCCATCCCACAGCAAACATGCTCTGAGGTCAGAGTTCAAAGAACATGTGAGGGTAAAACCCACTGTGTGGAAGGAAGAGAGCCAAGTGAGACAGCCCCTCACCCAGGTCATGGCAGGGCCCTGGGGAGATGTCACAGCCTCATAAATCTCCAGGTTCTTCCTGCGGACGTCGGGGCTCAGCCGGAAGGGGACAGGGTATCCCAGGAGCACCACATCTGCCTGCTTCACCTCCTCCCCTGGAGGAGACGTGGTAGTGGTGGGTGCCAGGTCCGACGCAGAGTCTGGGGTCTCCACAGGGCGGAAGGCCACTTACCAGGCTCATACCCATCAAACTCAGGGTGGAAATTCCGCTCTGGGTCAAAGGGCACTTTGATCTTGTCAGCTACCACCAGCCACTGGTCTGGAACAGACAGACCCAGATCCTGGGCCAAAGCAGCAGCAAAGCGCAGGCTAGGGGGAGAGCAAAAGCTGAAGCCTCGGCAGACTGGCAGGGCCTGCCTGAGGGGCGGCGCTGGGGCAGAAGTGGGGGTGGGGTGCCTGACCTGTTCTGGACCAGGACATTGGTGTACACGGAGTTGTTGACTCCTGAGTGGTACTCGTCAGGCGGCATGACCCCTAGGCACACAAGGCCACCACAGCCTTCAGCGCAGCTCAGGAGTGAGGAGGCAGGCACCTGTCCCCTCCCCCCGCCCAACGCCTCCCTGGGCCTCACCCTTCAGGTGGTATTCCTCATCCTGGGAGCTCCACTCCACACGGCTGCACCAGAACTCAGCCACAGCCCTGACTACATCCCAGCCACCAGCCTCTCGGAAGAGCTGCAGGTCCTGCGGGGTAGAGAAAGGATGAGGCCCAGGCCCAGGCCCGGTGCCCATACCCCAAGCATCCAGAAAGGAAACCCTGTGCCCCATAGGCCTCTCCAGACGATCTCCCAGGACCAGCCCCACCTAGTTACAAGGTGGGCATGTCGAGGCTGCAGGGACACACACCTGGGTGGTGAGGTAGTACAGCTGGAAGGCCAGCACCACAGCCCCGTTGACGTGGACCTCCTGGGTCCCATAGACCTCTTCCGGGCAGACCTCCAGACCAGAGCCTGCGCTCTCCCAGGCGAACTTGGCTCCCTGTGTGGGGCAGGGGTGGAGATGAGTCAGCTTCAACCCCAGCTTTACCCTTGCAGAGGTTCAGAGAGGGTGGCGCTCTAGTGCGCTCTCTCTGCCCCACCATAGGCCTGGCCAGCTGCCCACTGTGCGCTGCTCCTGGGGCGTGGACCCTAGGGGGTACTGAGCCACACTCACCCGGTAGCCGAGGCTCCGCGCGTTCTCCAGGGCCCCACCCAGAGTTCTGATTCGGTACTCTAAGATGGCCCTGGCAGCCTCTGGGTGGAATGCCAGGATATTTGGGAACATCCAGAGATCCTAGGAGAACATCAGTTCTGGAGCTGAGCAAGTGCTCTCATCCTCTGTGACGCCACCCACCCACATCCAGCCCTGGTGGCTGCCGGCCAGCGCTCAGCACGCAGGCACCAGCCAGCGCTCAGCACGCAGGCAGCGGCCAGCGCTCAGCATGCAGGGCAGCGGCCAGCGCTCAGCACGCGGGCAGCGGCCAGCGCTCAGCATGCGGGCACCGGCCAGCGCTCAGCACGCACGGCAGCGGCCAGCGCTCAGCACGCACGGCAGCGGCCAGCGCTCAGCATGCAGGCACCGGCCAGCGCTCAGCACGCACGGCAGCGGCCAGCGCTCAGCAGCGGCCAGCACTCAGCATGCACGGCAGCGGCCAGCGCTCAGCACGCAGGCAGCGGCCAGCGCTCAGCATGCAGGGCAGCGGCCAGCGCTCAGCACACGGGCAGCGGCCAGCGTTCAGCACACACGGCAGCGGCCAGCGCTCAGCACGCACGGCAGCGGCCAGCGCTCAGCACGCACGGCAGCGGCCAGCGCTCAGCACGTACGGCAGCGGCCAGCATTCAGCACGCAGGCACCGGCCAGCGCTCAGAATGCAGGCAGCGGCCAGCGCTCAGCACGCACGGCAGCGGCCAGCGCTCAGCACGCACGACAGCGGCCAGCGCTCAGCACGCAGGGCAGCGGCCAGCGCTCAGCACGCAGGGCAGCGGCCAGCGCTCAGCACGCAGGCAGCGGCCAGCGCTCAGCACACAGGGCAGCTGCCCTTTGGCAGGGTCTGTGCTGCTCTCTTCAGAAGGAGACTCTAGGGGCTGCTTCCAGGCCCACCCTGGGCCGTTCCTGCCTGCCTACTCTCCAGCCGCGCTTCACTCCCCTGTGACACACGGGTGTGCCCAGGGGCTCCAGTCAGGACCTGACACAGGCTTCCTGTGCCTGCCTGAGCTCAGCCTCCTGCGGCCTCATCCGCAAACGGCCATATGCTGCTGGTAAGATGCACGGGAGGACATGGGGTGGCCCTGGGCCCCCTCACTCTCCTCCTCTGCCTCCAGGCCACCAACACCCACCTCCCACACGCTCGTCCCCAGACCCCACTCCTCACGCGCTCCCCCCCACCCCCGTTCTCCAGCGGCGGAGTGTTTTTTCAGAGCATCTGTCTCTGTGGCTTCCTCGGGAAAACTCCAGGCCCACACCCCCGACTCTACCAGGCCTGACCTCCACACTGCCAGGGTCCTACTCTGTCCTCACAGCCGCACACTTCAGCTCAGCCTGTGCACCTCCGGTGCGCTGGAGCTCTCACCTGGATCACTCTTCTCTACCAGAATCCTGAACCCCCTTCTGAGATACCACCGCCTCCAGGAAGCCTTCCCATCTACCATGCACCTCCCTAACCACGAGCTTGACACTGAGGAGGGTAGCCAGTCAGTGCTCTAAGTGCCACTCGCGTGTGGCTGGTGCTGGGAGGTGTGAGAAGATACACACCTGGTCCCAAAAGACGTGGCCCCAGTAGCACTCCTCCCGGCTCCCATTGGAAAGGCCCCCGGGGCTGAGGCCGTGGCAGATGCAGTTCTGGGTCCCAGGCTGGGGCAGGGCACTGAGCAAGTAGTAGAGACAGCCACGCAGGGCTTGGCGCAAAGCCAGGGGTCCCACCACATCCAAGCCACAACCTGCCCAGAGCTGGGCCCAGGCCTCTGCGTGAGCTGTGTACAGAGTGCCCTGGGCCTGTAGCTGCAGGACCTCACCCAGGCAGGCCTGGGCCTCGGCCTGGCTGCTGCCCACCACAGTTAGGAAGTCCCAGGTCCTGTCTTTCTCTCCTTCTCCAAGAGTCAGGGCCGAGGGCACTGGCATCCACAGCATGTGTACCTCCTGCTGTGGCCCTCCAGGCTGTTCCGGCGTGAGTGTGTGGCCATACAGGTACCTTCCAGAGCACAGAGGGGACTCAGGACAGGCTACCTCTGGGGCCTCCCAGGAGGGTCCCAGCCCCCTCCTCACCGGAATCCCTGGAAGTCAGGCCCCAGATGCAGGTCTAGGTCTGGGCTTTCTGGGGAGAAGGCAGAACGCAGCAACACGGTGATGGGTGGGCTTCCTGCCGCCAGGCGCTCAATGGACACAGTGAAGGCCAGAAGATGAGGCAGCGTGCGGTGGGCATAGATCCGCTGGGAGGCCCGGAAGCTGAGGCCTTCCAGGGTGTGCAGGAATGAGCCTGGCAAGGGTAGGGTAGCTGTGGTCATGGGAAGGTCATGAGAATGGGAAGGACCGTCCCCCCCCTTGTCCCCCCCCACAGAGCTTGTGAAGCTGTGGCCTCCTGGGGTGGAAGCTGACTGCAGGGTAGTCCCTAGGGGGGGGCCCAGGCTGGCCTCAAACTCTAGATCCTCGCTCCTCAGCCTCCTCAGTGCTGGGACTTACAAGCATGAGCCACCACACTAGGTTTCCACGCACACCTTTCCTGGGTGGGGCTTCCTGAAGCACGGTCTCCCCTCTCAACTGGAAACAGCTTGGGGAGGGACCGAGAGTCCAGAGGCAGCTACCTGTGCTGGTGTCCAGGACAAAGGTGGCGGTGGGCTGCTCCCCGGGGCCTGCAGGAGCCTCCAGCCTGGCGCAGAGCGGGCTGGGCAGGGCGGCCCGGTGCGTGTGCCCCCCGGCCCCGTTGTACACGCCATTCACGTGCAGTGTGCCGTGGTACACGCGTGTGCCCAGGTACGCGTTGGTCACGGGGGCCAGGAGCCGGGGGTCGCTGGGCAGCGAGCGCGCGGCGAACGCGGCCGGGTCCCCGGGGTCGCCGTCCATGGCGGCCTGGAAGGGCGGAGGTCGCGGCCGGCGGCTGCCAACGCCCGGAGGACGGTGAGGGCGCGGGCGTCACGCGCGGGCTCACCGAGCTTCCGACCCGGTTCCCCGGGAGAATGCCAACCCTGACCGGCCTCCCCGGCCCGGCGCCCACACCCTGAACCCGCCCGAGGGGAAAGGCCAGCCTGCGCCTGCGGCCGGCCCGCGGGACGGCGTGCGACCGGACGGGCGGGCGTGCCGACCCGGCGGGGCCGAGGGCGAGCAGGGGCGGGCGGGACGGGGGGGGGGGGGCGGGGGCGGGGGCGAGCAGGGGCGGGCGGGACGGGGGGGTGGGGGGGGGGCGAGCAGGGGCGGGACGGGACGGAGGGGGCGGGGCCGAGGGCGGCGCAGGGGCGGGCGGGACGGAGGGGGCGGGGGCGAGGGCGGCGCAGGGGCGGGCGGGACGGAGGGGGCGGGGCCGAGGGCGGCGCAGGGGCGGGCGGGACGGGGGGGGGGGCGGGGGCGAGCAGGGGCGGGCGGGACGGGGGGGGCGCAGGGGCGGGCGGGACGGAGGGGGGCGGGGCCGAGGGCGGCGCAGGGGCGGGCGGGACGGGGGGGGGCGCAGGGGCGGGCGGGACGGGACGGGGGGCGGGGCCGAGGGCGGCGCAGGGGCGGGCGGGCCGGTGGGGGGGACGTGGCACGGGAGGGCGGGGGGGGGGGAGTCCGGGCACGGCTCGGGGCGGTGGGGGGGACGTGGCACGGGAGGGCGGTGGGGGGGGGTCCGGGCACGGCTCGGGGCGGTGGGGGGGACGTGGCACGGGAGGGGGCGGTCCGGGCACGGCTCGGGGCGGGACGTGGCACGGGAGGGCGGGGGACAGGGTGCAGGGCGCGGGACGTGGACCGGGCGGAGACGGAGCTCGGGACAGAGTCAGACACAGGAGCGCGGGTCTTTGGGACTCACCGCAACCCGGTCCGGTCCCTTAGCGTCCCAGACAGCGCCCGGGACCCTCGGCTCTACCCCGAGACCCGCGCTGCTCCGGCGGAGGAAGGAGAAGCCTCTTTCCGCGAGGAGCCGCGAGACCCGGGCCAGGCCCCGCTCGGTCCCGCCCCGCACGTCCCGGGCGAGCGGACACGCCCCCTCGGCGGGAGGGGCTCCCGGCCCCGCCCCTCTCTGGGCGGAGTTCCGCGGCCCCGCCCCCCGGTGGGCGGGGCTCCGCGCTGCCGGGCCCTCGGGCTGTCTCTTCAGGAGGCCGCTTCCCTTCCGGGAGCCGGGGCGCTGCCCCGCCCGAACCCTCCCCCCCTCCCCAAAACGGAATGAACGGTCGGCTTTTGACCTTACGCATAACCTTGAGCGCGTGGCTCACGCCAGTCATCCTAGCTACTCAGGTCTAGGACCTGATTTGCGTTCAGCCCGGCAATCAACCGCCGGAAAGGTGGAGGAGGCGGCGCGGCTCCGGCGGACGGCGCCGGCCGGTGGCTCGCGGGAGTGGAGGTGGACGGCCCCCACTCGTCCTCCTGGAGCAGCGATCCCGGTGCGGGACGGCGCGCTCCCCAGCTCCCAGCCCAAGTCCAGTGACGCCTGGAGCGGGTGCGGGCCCCGTCCCGGGCTGCCCGGCCTGGCGTCGGTCCTGTGCTCTGCCCCGCCCCAGCCAGAGTCAGCTAGAACGCGGCCCCCAGCCTGCCCCGCCCGCCCCGCCATCCTGTCCTGCCCGCCCCGCCATCCTGTCCCGCCTGCCCCGCCAGCCTGCCCCGCCAGCCTGCCCCGCCCGCCCCGCCATCCTGTCCTGCCCACCCCGCCAGCCTGTCCCTCCTGCCCCGCCAGCCTGTCCCTCCTGCCCCGCCAGCCTGTCCCGCCCGCCCCGCCATCCTGTCCCACCTGCCCCGCCAGCCTGCCCCGCCAGCCTGTCCCTCCTGCCCCGCCGGCCTCCCCCGCCATCCTGTCCCTCCTGCCCCGCCAGCCTGTCCCATCTGCCCCGCCGGCCTGCCCCGCCATCCTGCCCCGCCATCCTGTCCCTCCTGCCCCGCCAGCCTGTCCCGCCTGCCTCGCCAGCCTACCCAGCCCCAGCCAGTCTGCTCAGCTAGAACACTGCCCCCCACACCCCCGCCTGCCCCGACCCGCCCGGCGGCCCCGCCCCGCCTGCCCCATCTGCCCCGCCCCTCCCGTCTGCCCCGTCCCTCCCGTCTGCCCCGCCCCTTCTGCCCTGCCCCGTCCGCCCACCCCGCCAGCCCGCCCTGCCCCGCCTTCCCCGGCCCTCCCTCCTGCCCCGCCCCGCCCCGCCCCTCCTGCCCCGCCCCGCCTTCCCCGCCCTGCCCCGCCTTCCCCGGCCCTCCCTCCTGCCCCGCCCCGCCCCTCCTGCCCCGCCCTGCCCCGCCTTCCCCGCTCCTCCCTCCTGCCCCGCCCCGCCCCTCCTGCCCCGCCCTGCCCCGCCTTCCCCACTCCTCCCTCCTGCCCCGCCTTCCCCGCCCCTCCTGCCCCGCCCCTCCCTCCTGCCCCGCCCCTCCCTCCTGCCCCGCCCCGCCCCTCCTGCCCCGCCCCTCCCTCCTGCCCCGCCCCTCCCTCCTGCCCCGCCCCTCCCTCCTGCCCCGCCCCGCCCCTCCTGCCCCGCCCCTCCCTCCTGCCCGGCCCCTCCCTCCTGCCCCGCCCCTCCCTCCTGCCCCGCCCCTCCCTCCTGCCCCGCCCCGCCCCTCCTGCCCCGCCCCGCCCCGCCTTCCCCGCCCCTCCCTCCTGCCCCGCCCCGCCCCGCCTTCCCCGCCCCTCCCTCCTGCCCCGCCCCGCCCCGCCTTCCCCGCCCCTCCCTCCTGCCCCGCCCCGCCCCTCCTGCCCCGCCCCGCCCCGCCTTCCCCGCCCCTCCCTCCTGCCCCGCCCTGCCCCGCCTTCCCCGCCCCTCCCTCCTGCCCCGCCCTGCCCCGCCTTCCCCGCCCCTCCCTCCTGCCCCGCCTTCCCCGCCCCTCCCTCCTGCCCCGCCCCTCCCTCCTGCCCCGCCCCTCCCTCCTGCCCCGCCGGCCCCCGGACGGGAGGGGAGTCGCTTTCTGCCCAGCCGCTCACCCTGGCCTGGCCTGCCTGGCCCTCCGCGACGCATGCCCCATGCCACCCACGGTTCGCCCGAACCCGCACTGGCTGCGGGCCGTCCCGCTCGTGGCTCAAGCGGGACGGCGGCCGTGAGGCCAGTGCGGATCTGAACAGCCGCCTGGCCAAGGCCCCGCCCTCACTGACCCCGCCCCCTCACTGGCCCCGCCCCCTCACTGGCCACGCCCCCTCGCTGACCCCGCCGCGACAGAGCGTTCAGAGTGCGCGCCCGCGGCCCTGGGCCCCGCACGTTCCCTGCCGGAGCGCCCTTCCTCACGGGCCCTCCGAGCGCCCTTCCCCGCGGGCCCTCCGAGCGCCCTTCCCCGCGGGCCCTCCGCCCGCCCGAGCGCCCTTCCTCACGGGCCCTCCGCCAGAGTGCCCTTCCTCGCGGGCCCTCCGCCTGCCGAGCGCCCTTCCCCGGGGGCCCTCCGCCTGCAGGAGCGCCCTTCCCCGCGGGCCCTCCGCCCGCCGAGCGCCCTTCCCCGCGGGCCCTCCGCCTGAAGGAGCGCCCTTCCCCGCGGGCCCTCCGCCCGCCGAGCGCCCTTCCCCGCGGGCCCTCCGCCTGCCGAGCGCCCTTCCCCGCGGGCCCTCCGCCTGCAGGAGCGCCCTTCCCCGCGGGCCCTCCGCCCGCCGAGCGCCCTTCCCCGCGGGCCCTCCGCTTGCAGGAGCGCCCTTCCTCGCCGGCCCTCCGCCTGCAGGAGCGCCCTTCCCCGCGGGCCCTCCGCCTGCCGAGCGCCCTTCCTCGCGGGCCCTCCGCCTGCAGGAGCGCCCTTCCTCGCGGGCCCTCCGCCCGCCGAGCGCCCTTCCTCGCGGGCCCTCCGCCTGCAGGAGCACCCTTCCCCGCGGGCCCTCCGCCTGCAGGAGCGCCCTTCCCCGCGGGCCCTCCGCCCGCCGAGCGCCCTTCCCCGCGGGCCCTCCGCCGGAGCGCCCTTCCCCGCGGGCCCTCCGCCTGCAGGAGCGCCCTTCCTCGCCGGCCCTCCGCCTGCAGGAGCGCCCTTCCTCGCGGGCCCTCCGCCCGCCGAGCGCCCTTCCCCGCGGGCCCTCCGCCCGCCGAGCGCCCTTCCTCGCGGGCCCTCCGCCTGCAGGAGCGCCCTTCCCCGCGGGCCCTCCGCCTGCCGAGCGCCCTTCCCCGCGGGCCCTCCGCCTGCAGGAGCGCCCTTCCCCGCGGGCCCTCCGCTTGCAGGAGCGCCCTTCCTCGCCGGCCCTCCGCCTGCAGGAGCGCCCTTCCCCGCGGGCCCTCCGCCTGCCGAGCGCCCTTCCTCGCGGGCCCTCCGCCTGCAGGAGCGCCCTTCCTCGCGGGCCCTCCGCCTGCAGGAGCACCCTTCCCCGCGGGCCCTCCGCCTGCAGGAGCGCCCTTCCTCGCGGGCCCTCCGCCCGCCGAGCGCCCTTCCCCGCGGGCCCTCCGCCGCCGCCTCCGGTGCCGCTCCCAGTGGCCTCTCAGGCCCTGATCTCCACTCGGCTTTCCTGCACATGCATCGGTCACGCGCCCGTGTGCTGTGCCTTGTCTATTTACCATGAATGCATTATTATCCATTATCCTAGCATTCAAATATGACATATACGCACAGTGCTCTACATACTAATGCATTGTGTTTACTGCATCTTGTGTATCAAACATACTGTGCACAATACAGTTATCTATCTTCTGTCATATTTACTTATGATGACGTGTGTGCTGTACCCTGTTTGTTTTGTGCATCTATTTATTGTATCAAGTTCATGTATTACTTATGTACTTATTGTCTTTTTGTCAAAATGCCAGCTCAAGGAGGACGGTTTTGTCTGCTTTGTAGAACGAACTTATTTATAAAGGGCGCACTGCAAAGTGTCCCCTCTGCAAGGGTCTCGGGGCTGGCCACGCTGGGCGGTGATGAGCAGACGCCTCAGAGTTCAGGGCCACGCTTTCCTCCAGGTTTTGTGCAGTCAGACCAGCCCACTGCGTTTCCTCAGCAGTGAACTGAGGAGTAAACCCTGCCCAACACGGGCAGGCGGGTGCAGACTGCTGACACTTGTTTGGTTTTTTTTTTAGCTGTATTTTTTTTGTCTTTTCTTTTTTGGTACTGGGGATCGAACCCAGGACATTGCACTTGCTAGGCAAGTGCTTTGCCACTGAGCTACATCCCAGCCCGGCTGACACTTTCAAAAATGATTCCAGAGGAGACCTGATTATCAGTGTCTTGGGACTCCCCACTTGCCACCGCCCCCAGACTAACTGGGCTATTGCTCTAAGTCCACCCTCTCCTGGCCCCCTTCCTGGAGACTGGAGAGAGTGAGTGGATGGCTCGGACTCAGGCCACAACCCCTGAAGATGAGGGCCAGGTTAGAGTGGTCCCTATCACACTCCACAACGAATTCCATTAGTATCAGGCAGAATCTACTGGCTACATTTCACAGGATAAAAACCAAAGCCCAGACAGAGGCACACAGAAGCAGGCAGAATCCAGCAGCCCAATCTCAGCCTGACCCTGAGCACCTTCCCCCAGAGCGATGGCCCGAGAGTCTCCACAGCCTCAGAAGCTTCCTCTGAAAAGGAAGCCAGCAGTCTGCCAGCACACACAGGAGCTCAGCTAATGGTCCTTCTCATCACTGCGGGTGGCTAGAGGGTCTCCGGAGAGGAAGGCAGCAATGGCTGTGAGGCTGGGGGAGGGAGAATCCAGGACCTGGAGGGAGGGAATGTCTGGGGCCTGCCTGAGATCAGGGGCTGGGTGTGTGTGGGCCTCCCACTTGCCTGCTCAGGGCCTCTTGGCTCAGAAGAGCTGCCTGGAGGCTAAGGAGAGTTCTGCCCTTGGAATGGGGAGGGCTTCTCCACCTGGACTCTCACTAGTTTTCTGCACCCCAGGGCCTCACAGGGCACTGACACATTCCGTGGGAGGCTCTAGATGGCTGTCCAGTGCTGGGTGTACGATGACCAGATCTGGCTTTTCTGTCTTCAGTGCTTGAAGCTCCTGCTGTGACTGCCCACTGAGCTCCACAGAAGCTAGACTGCAGCCACATGCACACAACAGGGAAGGCGGGTCAGCAGTTAGAATCTGTGTGAGACTGGAGAACTTCTAGGGAGTAAAAGGCTATTGGGTTCACTGGCCCAGACTTCAGGCATGGGTAACTTGGTTCAGGCCTAGGGCCAGGGTGTCGGAAGATAGGTGTCTTCAAGCTGGAGCCTCAGATCTTCACGTGAGGTTGGGCATGTGAGCTGGGCATGTGGAGGGTGTCTTGGAGGGATTTCCCTTAAAGGTGCAGGAGAAACCCTCACAGCCTCTGGCCCCAGAGTAGGTAGGCTGTGCCTCAGCACCCCCCTTTACCTAAGTGTCTGCAGGATGCATCCTGGATGCCGCAGGACTGAACACAGGTAGGTCACCATGGGGCCTGTCAGCTGGCAGCCACTGAGGTCCAACGTGGTCAGGGCAGAACTGTGCCGGAGCAGTCCAACTAGGTACTGGAAGGCTCCCTGCAGGTCCAGCAGCTGCACCCTGGGGAGAGGGCTGACCTCAGGTACTGCTGGGGCTGGGGTCCCGTCCATCCCCTCCAGGCCGGGCCTCACCTGAGGGTCTGCACCTGGCACTTTGGCCAAGCCAGGCCCTCACTCAGCATCCGCATGCCTGCCTGGCTGAGCCGGTTCTGGAGGAGGTTCAGCTCTGTGAGGGAAGGGGCTGCCCTCAGGGCCTCCGAGAGGTCTTGGCAAACCACGTCGGGGAGTTTGCAGTGAGCCAGCCTGTGATCGAGAAGCAGGGGGACTTGTGTGCAGGCGCCTGGCCACTTCTCAGCGACATAGAGTGCCCACTCCTTGGTGGGCTGATGCTCAGTCAAGAGACGCATGGGCCTCTCTTAAATGTCCATCAGGTTGAGATGGGCCATTACTTGTTTAGTCAGCCAGTCCCTCATTGTTGGGCAGTTGTGCTGTTTTTTGTTTTTGTTTTTTAATCAACGTGCTGAGCATCTTCCTACACTCAGTACTGGTCGGATTGTTGAGTCGTCCTGGGCTTCTCACGTGAACTGGCAGCAGTCCAGCCCTTCGTCAAGCTAGTTTGCCATCTGGCTGTTAATGTACAACTATTCCTTTCCATCATGCTGCCAGTATCAGTCCCCATAGCTTCTATTTCTTTCTGCTCACTGGCTGGAAAGACACCTCATTCTAAGTACCTTCTGAGCCTCACTAAGCAACACCGAGCCTCTAAGGCAAAATCTGCCAGCTGCGTTTTACAGGGAGGAAACGAAAGCCCAGAGAGAGGCACCCAGCAGCAGGCCAGGGTCCGCAGCCAGCCTGAGCTTGGAGGCCGACTCCAGCCATCTCCCACAGCACTCAGAAGCACCATCTGGAGAGAAACTATACCCTTATCATCTCTGTCCTCCATGGTGGCAGCCAGTGGTCTTCCACCCAAATCAGCACAGACTGCTTTCTAGTGGCACCTAACTCAGCGATGGGTGCCTAACAGGCTCTAGCTTTCCCCATGAGCCTGACTTCTGTCTCTCCACAGGGCGCTGGGCTGTGAGGCTCCTCTCTCCCAGGAGCCAGGGCATGTGCACTCACGTCAAGCTTTGCAGCCCACACTGCGGATCAGCCATGGCCTCACAGAGTGGACGCAGCAGGGAAACTGGGAGATGTTTTGTGCTGGCTCGAGAACTGTCAAGAGAGAGAACAATGTGAGGCCCACTGTACCCTTTCTAGGCCCTTCTAGAAAGGGGTCCTTCCTATCTTAGCTTCTGCAGCGCTAGAGCTGGCTTTGCCACTCCTCCCCATGCCAAGTCAAGACCCTTCCACCTCAGTATCTTCCCCTGCCAAACCCAGAAATGGGTTCCCTGGGCCCAGCCTCTGTCAACACCCTAGCAGAGGCTGAGCACTGAGAACAGGTGCCGCTGGAGCCAAGTGCAAAGAAACTCTAGCACCAGCTTCATTTGGAGAGCTGAGGCTCTGGTGGAAGAGATGGGCAGTGGAGAGAGCACGGTGTAGGCTGGTTAAGGGGCCCTCCTGGGACCAATGGAAGCCTAAGCAAGCTGGGGGAACCAGGGTGCGTTTGAGGGCTGGCAACAAGCACAAAGCTCAGGGTAAAAGGGCATAGCTGCTGGGCGCGGGAGGCTCACACCTGACACCCTAGCTACTCAGGAGGCTGAGATCTGAGGGTTGCGGTTCAAAGCCAGCCCCAGCAGGTTTTGACTCTTATCTCCAATTGGCCAGTAAAAATTCTGAAGTGGAGATGTGGCTCAAGTGGTGGAACTCCATGTGGGCAGAGAAAGCTCAGGGATAGTGCCCAAGTTCTGAGTTCAAGCCCCAGGACCTGCATACACAGACAGACACACAGGCACACAGACACACACAGAGTATGTTATGAGAAGACAAGGAGGAGAAGCTGAGCTGTGTGGAGGCATGGCGGCTACGCTGACGGTGGAGGGGAGCGCGGGAGGAAACCTGGGGGAGATGAGCAGCCACCTTACAAGGGGGAGGGCAGAGCCAGCTCTCGGGTCCCTTTTGCGGTCTGGAGCAGCAGGCTCCGGGTCTGAACAGGCCTCCGGAGCCCCGACGGGCCCTACGGCCAGAGGGCGGCCCTGACCCGAAGACTCACCCCTGGAGCCGCTTCATCAGACTCTTCTTTTCCTTCTCCTGGGCGGCCACCAGCCTGCAGGCGCGCAGCCTCAGCGCCTGCCCCGCGGGGCAGCACCGCACGCAGTAGCTCAGGACCTCGAGGTCCATGCGGCTGAAGCGCACTCGCTCGAGCACCAGCTCGGGCAGGCCGCTCAGGGCCTGGCGCACGAAGGCGTCGTCCTGGGTCTCGTACAGGCAGTACAACAGCTGCAGCTGGAAGCAGTCCTCCTCCTCGTCCTCGCCGTCCTCCCGGTCCTCCCCGCCCTCCACCTCGCCCTCCGGGGCCGCCCCGCGCCGGCCCTGCTCCCGCACCCAGCGCAGGGCGTCCTGCTTCACGCGCTCGGGGACCGCGCAGCAGAAGTGGCGCTCGACGTCGCGCGTCCTCTCGGCGTTCAGCAGGCCGAAGAGGAAGCGCGTGGTGAGCGCCAGGTGCCCGCACCGCCGGGCGTCGGCCCGCAGGAGCGTCTCCGCGCCCGCGTCCTCCAGCAGGAAGGACAGCGCGGCCAGGAACTCCTGGAAGCTCCGGTCGACGAACTGGTAGGTGACCTCCGTCTCCAGCACGCCCAGCAGCTCCTTCTTGACCAGGAAGGGCGCCTGGACGCGGGAGCGGCGGAGCTCCAGGCGCTCCAGGTCGCCCTCGGAGAAGCGCGCGCGGCGCTGGAGGACGCCGTCCCGGGCCAGGCGGCACAGGCGGCGCAGCTCGGCCCGCGCGCGGGGCGCGTCGGCGCCCGCGGCGCCCGCGGCGCCCAGCTCGCTGGCCACGAAGAGCAGGTACACGGCCGAGGCGGTCCTGGCGGCGCGCGGCGGGTCCCCGCCCCGCGCCAGCTGCTGGCGCAGCACGGTGCACACGATCCAGCACACGAAGGGCACGAAGCAGAGCTCGAACAGCGTCTCCTGCTCCTTGACCAGGCGGTAGGCGCGCCGGGCCTGGGCCTCGTCCCGGAAGAACTTGAAGAAGTACTTCTTCCGGTCCCGGACGGAGAAGCCGCAGACGTCGGCGGCGCGGCAGGGCGCGCGCGGGCGGCCGGGCAGCGCCTCGGGCAGCGCGGCGCGCGCCGTCACCAGCAGCCGCGCGCCGGGCAGCAGCGCCCTGCCCAGCAGGCCCGCGAGCACGCGCGCGCCGCCCGCCGCCTCCAGCGGGTCGGCGCAGGGCGCGGCGTCGGGCGGCACCTCGTCCGCGCCGTCCAGGATGAAGAGCAGCCGCTGCGGCCGCGCCAGCATCTGCCGCACCGGAGCGCCGCGGTCCGGGCACTGCTCCAGGACCAGGTCGGCCAGGCTGCGCCCGCCCGGCCGCTCCAGCAGCTCGCGGCACGGCAGGAAGAAGGCGAAGTCCACCTGGCCCTGGTACAGCTTGCCCGCCGCCCAGTCGTACAGGATCTTCTTGGCCGCCATGGTCTTGCCGATGCCCGCCGGGCCCTGCAGCACCACGGTCAGCGGCCGCTGGCCCTCGTCGTCGCGGCGGAACAGCCGGTTGAAGGTGTGCGTGTCGGAGCGGCGCGCGCGCCCCGGCGCCGCCCCCGGGCCCGGCGCGGCCTCCGCGGCGCCCGGCGCGGCCTCGGCCGGCGCCAGCAGCAGCTTGGTGAAGCGCTCGGTGATCCTGACGGAGCGGGCGTTCCTCTCCTTCACCCGCGCGTGCTGCCGGAGCACGTGCGCGCGGTACTTCTTCTCGTACTCTGCGCGGGGCGGGAGGCGCGGGCCGTGGGCCTGGGGCCGGCGTCCGCCGCGGCCCGCCCGGCCCCCTCTCCCCCTCCCCACCGCACCCCCTTCCCGAGGCCCGCCGCGGCCGCCCCACGTGGGCCTGCCCCCGCCTCGGGCCCGGACCCGGGTGGCACCCGCGCGGCCCAGGGCGTCAGACCTACCGGACACGGAGAGCGCCGCCGAGGAGCTGGAGCCGAGCCCTGGAAGGGGAGCCTGCGGTGAGGAGCCCGCGCGCGGTGAGGAGGAGCCCGGGCGCAGCGAGGCCCGGGGCGGGCGCACCCGGGTGAGGAGCCCGCGGTGAGGCCCGGGGCGGGCGCACCGCGGTGAGGAGCCCGCGGTGAGGCCCGGGGCGGGCGCACCCGGGTGAGGAGCCCGCGGTGAGGCCCGGGGCGGGCGCACCCGGGTGAGGAGCCCGCGGTGAGGCCCGGGGCGGGCGCACCCGGGTGAGGAGCCCGCGGTGAGGCCCGGGGCGGGCGCACCCGGGTGAGGAGCCCGCGCGGTGAGGCCCGGGGCGGGCGCGCCGCGGGGCACGTGGAGCCGGGCTCACTGCGGCTCCTCCGGACCGGGGCGCCCCGTGGGGGTTTGCAGGTAAGTGGCAAGGTGTTTTTTCTGGAGAAGGGACACGGAGGGCTACGGGCAGCACAGCCCTGAGAACACCCCGGAGTCGTCGCGGAGGAAGATGGGCGCCGGCCCGGGGGCCCCTCCGCCTGCCCGCCGGCTCGCGTGCCCTGGAGCGCTCCTCCCGCCCGCGTGCCCAGGGGCGCCCCCCTCCGCCCCCCCCCCGCCCGCGTGCCCAGGGGCGCCCCCTCCGCCCCCCCCCCCGCCCGCGTGCCCTGGGGCGCCCCCCCGCCCCCCCCCCGCCCGCGTGCCCAGGGGCGCCCCCTCCGCCCCCCCCCCGCCCGCGTGCCCAGGGGCGCCCCCTCCGCCCCCCCCCCCGCCCGCGTGCCCAGGGGCGCCCCCCCGCCCCCCCCCCGCCCGCGTGCCCAGGGGCGCCCCCTCCGCCCCCCCCCGCCCGCGTGCCCTGGGGCGCCCCCTCCGCCCCCCCCCCCGCCCGCGTGCCCAGGGGCGCCCCCTCCGCCCCCCCCCCGCCCGCGTGCCCAGGGGCGCCCCCTCCGCCCCCCCCCCCCGCCCGCGTGCCCAGGGGCGCCCCCTCCGCCCCCCCCCCGCCCGCGTGCCCTGGGGCGCCCCCTCCGCCCCCCCCCCCCCCGCCCGCCTGCCCAGGGGCGCCCCCTCCGCCCCCCCCCCCCGCCCGCGTGCCCTGGGGCGCCCCCTCCGCCCCCCCCCCCCGCCCGCGTGCCCAGGGGCGCCCCCTCCGCCCCCCCCCGCCCGCGTGCCCAGGGGCGCCCCCTCCGCCCCCCCCCCCGCCCGCGTGCCCTGGGGCGCCCCCTCCGCCCCCCCCCCCGCCCGCGTGCCCAGGGGCGCCCCCTCCGCCCCCCCCCGCCCGCGTGCCCAGGGGCGCCCCCTCCACCCCCCGCCCGCGTGCCCAGGGGCGCCCCCTCCGCCCCCCCCCCCCGCGTGCCCAGGGGCGCCCCCTCCGCCCCCCGCCCGCCCCTGCCCGCCCCGGGCGCCCCAGCTCACGCTGCAGCCGCTGCTCCTTCAGACGCGCGGCCACGTCGCGCACGTCCGCCCTCTTGAGCGTCTTGCGGGCCACGTCCAGCGCCGGCTCTGGCCCGTAGAACTGGGTCAGCTGCTCCACGAGGTCCACGGCGTCTGCGCGCTCCAGCCGTCCCCAGGGGATGCTGCGGCCGTCCTCGGACGCATCCCGGAGCTTGTGCCGAAAGCGCTTCAGCTGCTCCTGGCTCAGGTCCTCCAGCGCAGCCAGGAGCAGCTCGCGGGCCACCGCCACGAGGGGCTGCACGCTGGGGGCGAGAGCGTGCATCGCATGCGAGGCCCCAGCCCGCCCGCTCCCATCCTGACCCAGGGCAGCTATCCATATGCACCCTGGGCTCGCAGAGCAAACTTGGATTAGGGTAAGGTCTTAGAAAGCCACTGGGATGGGGTGATGCCAGCTTGTTTTTTGGGGGGTGTTGCGTGTTCCAAGGCTTGAGCCCTTCACTGCTTTCACTGACCATTGCCTCCTGTCCTCCTCCTCCCTGTTACCTGGCTAGGACTGGTAAGCTCCAGATGAGGTCTTCCCGAGGCCCTGCTTTTGCCTTTCTCTGTCTGTCTGTCTGTCTGTCTGTCTGTCTGTCTCCCTCTCTCTCCACACCGCCCCCCCCCCCCCCTCCTGGGAGCCATCACAGCTCCTCAGCAGGGAGCAGACAGCCCAGGCTAGTTGTGAACTTTCTACAACAGGCAGGCCTACTGCCCACTTTGGTGTGCTTCTAGGAACAGACCCAATAATGCCCTGTGGGGGTACAGGTTCGGCTTAAGAAAGGGGGTATAAAGCCACAGGGAATGAGTGGGACCAGAGGCCCCCAGAACGGATGCTGCCCACTGGTGGTGACCACCGAGGGAGCTGTACTTACCTGGAGCAGGAGGCCCCTGCCTCATCCATGGAGGCTCAGTCCTTGGGTTTGGCACTCAGAGGAAGGGGCAGGATCAGGGAGGTGACCTTTCCCAGGCTGACTTGGCCAAGTCCTGGTAGTAGAGGTGTTCAGCCCCATCCATTCCAGCTCAGCTGGCACTGAGCTTCAGTTCAGTCACCAAGGTCAAGCTCAGTTTCTGTGGAACCTGCACACCCTTACCTTTAAATATGGAGCTTGTGACCTTTGGCTTCCTACTACTGTTATTCCCTTCGCATTAACACTCTTCCAGTGGGGCGTGGTATCCAGCTTGGCTGTGAACAAACAGGTTACTCAGAACCAATGGCATGGCTGCCCCAGAATCAAGATTCTGCAGCCAAGGCAAGGAAAAGGTTCCAGGGAACAAAAGCACCAGAGTAAAGGAGGAATTGTGTGCAGAATATTGGGAAAGAAAGGCTGTTACCTGGGCATGCAGAGGAGCTGGGGTAGGATGAGCTCTGCAGCTCCCCACATCTGGCCCAAGCAGGCTGATGGGTGGAGGTTTGCCTATGCCTGGTGTTTGTGACCTCCCCACCCAGGCCTCAAGTGTAGGGCTGAGTTTCCTGTGCGGCATGGCTGCATGGGGGTGTGGGCCTTCAGGGCATGACATTGTGTTGGTGTGACTGTATCTATGTCGGCTGGTCAACAACTTCCAAAGATAACAGGCCTGAATCCCTGGAAGCTGGGGATGTCCCTTTGCAAACCAAAAGGGACTTTGTGGCTGTGACTACATCGAGGAACTTGAGATAGAAGACAGTCTTGGATTACCAAAGTATACCCTAAGTGTTCTAAGCGCCAGAAGATGGAGGCAGGGAGTCTAGAATTGGAACATGGCAATGTTACATGGCTTTGATGATGGAGGAAGGAGCTACAAGCCAATAAACACAGAACATCTACTGGAGACGCAGTAGAACAGGCCAAGGGAGAGGTTTTCCTTGAAGCCTCTTGATGGAGTGCAGCTGAGACAGTTCCTGGATCTCAGCCCAGTGAACCTGAATTTGGACTTCTGGCCTCCGAACTGTGAGAGAAGCAATGTGTTACTTAGACCTCCACATTTGTTGTAGTTGTTACTGAGCAACAAGAAATGTGCCCAGACTCATTAGACCATCCTCTCTGGCCACAGGTTGCTCAATTCTCAACCCTGCTTCAATCAGGAGATGTAGGAGCTGCTCTTGAGGAGGGGCTCCCTGAGGTTGGAGTCTTGGGTACAAGCCCCAAACATCTGTGGTCTGAGGCAAGAGGCTGACCTCGGCACCAGTGTGTCTTGTCTACATGAGGAGGGTGAATGCCACAGCGCCTGGGCAGAGCGGGAAGGGTGTCCCTCTGGGGTTCTAGTCCTCTTGATGTGTTGGCCTTGGATTTGGCTCCTCTGACAGCGATTCTGCAGACAGAAGCAACAATCCTGACATCAAATGTGCTCTACAGTGTGGTGAGCATCGCTAGCACCTGGGCCAGAGCCTCTCTTGAAGATGCCAGGGTGCCTCTCGCTGCCCCCTTGTTGATTCCAAGTCCAGTCCCAACACCCCACACACTCCGCTCACTCCTCCAGGTGCAGACACGGCCACAAAGCATGGCTGTTTTGCTCAATGTACATCTAATTTTCTTTACAAACTCTTACAAACAAGTGCTCTGTCTGTCTTTTGTTAAGGTAGACGATTCAAAGCCAGAGTGCCTGAGAACCAGTCCTGGAGGCACTACCTAATAGCTGTGTGGCTTGGACTAATCACTTAACTTCTCTGTCCCATTTCCCCATCTGTAAAATGAAGCAGGATGAGAGTTTTGCAGCTGTAGTGCACACAGCTAGTATGCCTTGGCCATTTGCTGTCCCCAGCCAATGGTAGCTCCCCACTGCACAGTTTTTCAAAAGATGTGCATCTTCAGTCTTGAATGGCCTTGTTTCTAAACTGGCCTCAGGTCTGATTTTTCCCCCCTTTCTACGACCGTTTCCGCCTCTCCTTCCCCATTGTGGGGAGCACTGAGATGGTGGTGCCAAGTCCAAGGACCAGCTGTGCCAGCTCCTGGACTTTCTCCTGTGCTGTGGGACATACTGAGAGGGCTGAGAGCTGGGAACGCCCAGGTTGTGCTGGCTTTTCTGCCCAACTAGAGGGACCTTGCCTAGAATAGACTCTGTGCCCCACAGGCTCTTAGTGCTGGTTGATAATAGCCTTATAAACCGGTTGATAATGGAAACTTACATTTCCAGGGTCTGTGGACACAGGTGGGGTAAAAAGGGACTGGGAACAGAGGAGGGAATGAAGTAGTTAGTGCTGGGGGCTGGGGCTGGAGGGAGGTGAGCAGACAGGCATAGGGAATGGAGAAGGAAAGGGAGAGAAGCCAGTCTGAGCAGACAGGCCACTCTGGATGTGGTAGTTCAGGCTGCACTTCTCAGCAGAGTCCCTGCCCCACCTGAACTTTGGAAATCTAACACTGCACTTAGACTTCATCCTAAGCTCCTCTGAGGCCCCTCACCAGGGGCTCTGCTGCCAGGCAGGCCTCTCTGGAAACCTCATTGCCAGGTTTTTCCTTCATGGCAGCTACCAAGAACCTGTCTCCTGCCTGGAGAAGCTTAACAGACTCCTCCTCCTGCTCCTCCTCTTCTCTTCCTCCTCCTCCTCTTCCTCCTTCTTCCTCTACCTAGGAGAAAGAACCACAAAAGTTCTGTGACCTCTTTAGCAGAAATGGACCAGCAGAAGAGGAAATGGACCTACAGCTAACTCACCTTTTATACCAGAAAAGAAAGCAACACAGAAAAAATGGACACAATTTTGGAAAGAACACTACTTAAAATTGCTTAAGAAGAAATAAAAATGTTTGCATTTACAAGTTAAGAGCTTGAACTTAAAACTGTCATACAAAGAAAAGTCGACCCAATGGCTTTTCTGGTGGCCTATATCACCATACATCTCAGGAGAAACTCATATCCAGGGGCTACAGACTCAAAGGAGACACAAATGGAAAGCCTCTTCCCAACTCATCTGGCCAAGCCCATCAAATCTAGCACAAGCACACTAAGGTGAATGTCTGTGATGGATACAGACAGGAGAGATCCTCAGACTTTTCAGCCAACAGTCTGTAAGCAGTAAAGAGAACGAGATCATGAAGAAGGGATTTCTTGCAGGAGTCTAGGCTCTCTCAGCATCTAAAAGTCAATTAGTGGAACATATATACACACTGAAAAGGATGAACGTGATTTGATTATCTTAACAAATCTAGGAAAATCATATTATTCAACATGTTTCATGATTAGAAACCCTAAGCAAATCAGGAGAGGCTGTAGGAGATAGAATTCTTTTTTTTTTGGGGGGGGTCCGGTTGTGGGGCCTGAACTCTGGGCCTGGGCACTGTCCCTCAGCCCTTCAGCTCAAGGCTAGCACTCTACCACTTGAGCCACAGCGCCACTTCCGGCTTTTTTCTTTTTGCTTATGTGGTGCTGAGGTATCGAACCCAGGGCCTTAGGCATGCAAGGCAAGCTCTCTACCACTGAGCCATCTTCCCAGCCCGGGATAGAATTCTTGTATGCTGCAAGCAACAATACACACCAGGCAGCCTTTTGCCTGTTCACAGGTGCATCACCAGAAACTCTCTTTGTGGGTACACAGCAGGTAGGACTCACTGGGCTTTTCCAGTGGGTGCTACTTGCCAGGTAGCCCGCCAGCGTGGCTTCTACCAACATTATGTGTGGCTTGTGCCTGTCTTGCCCTCAGCCTGGGAAAAATGCCAATGGTTCCTGAGAAATGGAAATCTACCTGGCCCAAGTGCCTCAAGACTTCAGGCTACTTAAACCCAGGAGCTCTGCATTTCTAAGTCCCTTCTGCATGAAAAGACTAACATTTATTGAATTTGTACTTGTTATCAGCCAAGTATAGTCTCTTCCTTTCGTGCATCCACAGACTTGGCCCTCAGAAGGTAATGCTGCTTGTAGGGAAGTTCACAAGGCCTTACACATGCCTCTGTCTGAGGACATGTAGAGAGCTTTATTCAGCCAACCAAGCCAAGAGTTTTCTCCTGGAAACAAGTGTCCTGTGTGATGGCCCTCAGGATTGAAGCTGGTTCATCTACCAGCTTATTTCCCTTCAGACCTTAGATGACAGACAGGGATGAGTGGTGGCCTAGGCTTCTCCAAATTGCACTTAGCCCACGAGGCCAGTACTTTGTGTAGAGGGTGGTCTACATAGGTAAGACCTGCTGAAGCAGGACAAAGCAGGAAAGAAAGAAAGAAAAAGAAGCTGGGCCGGATGCCAGTGGCTCACACCTGTAATCCCAGTACTGAGGAGGCTGAGATTTGTGGACTGGTTCGAACTCATCCTGGGTAGGAAAGTGTGAGACTCTTATATCCAGTTAACCCCCAGAAAACCTGAAGTGGTGCTGTGGTTCAAAGTGGTAGAGCACTAGCCTTGAGCAAGAAAGCTCAAAGACACTTCCCAGGCCCTGAGTTCAAGCCCCACAGGGGGCGGAGGAGTTGGGCTCTGGGCTGGAATGGCCACAAGATGGAGCAGATCAAGTGGTGGTTCTGGCTCTCTGCACAAGATTTCTTCCTGGTTGCATTTAGAAATATAGAGTCTAGTTTTTGGTTTTTATTTTCTCTAGCTACTTTATGTCATTTTTACTCTAGCTCACTAACTTGTGTAATGTACTTGAAATTTTATTTCTAGTTCATCAAGATACAGGAAAAGAGACGCTTATTAGCAATCTGCCATCTTGGATATTCGATGATGACTTTTTAGATGTAACATGAAACAAAAATTGATAAATTGGGCCACAATGAAAGGAAAGTAGAGCTTGGATGTAGCTCTGTGGTAGAGTGCTTGCCATCATGCAGGCACAAATAGGTATGAACTTATAAAGAAAGTAAAGGAAAGAAAGGAAGGAGAGAGGGAGGAAGGGAGAAAGAAGGAACAGGCAAGAGAAAGTAAGAGAAAGATAGAAAGAAAGAAGAAAGGCACTGTCAAGCAAATGAAAATATAAGCACTGGGAAAATATTTGTAAAACATATGTTTAATAAAATATTTGTCCCCAATATAGAAAAAATGTACAACGGAACCAGGAGATAAGAATTCAGTTAAGATGACAGAGACCCCTTACTGAAGAAGAGACACAGGCAGCAAATAGTGCATGGAGAGATGCTCCACATTAGGGGAGTGAACATCGCAGAGTAGCGTGACACCTCTTTTGGAAAGGCTGAGGGTGTGAGCCACAGGAACCCTCCTTCATTACCGGTGTGAATGTGTAGTTGCGGGGGGGGGGGGGGGGCGCGGCACTTCAGAAGGAAGTTCCAAGTTCCTTATGAAGCTAAGCACAGGCTTACTCTATGATCCAGCAACTCTACTCCTATTCACCCAAATTAATTGAAAACGTATGTCTATATGAAATCTTTTTTTTTGGGGGAGGTCCTGTTGTGGGGCCTGAACTCAGGGCCTGGGCACTGTCCCTCAGCTCTTCAGCTCAAGGCTAGCACTCTACCACTTGAGCCACAGCTTTTTTTATGTGGTGCTGAGGAATCGAACCCAGGGCCTCATGCATGCAAGGCAAGCGCTCTACCACTGACCCACCTTCCCAGCCCGCTATATGAAATCTTGCACATGGATATTTATAGCAGTTTTAATTACTAGCAGTCCAGTGCCCTTCAGTGAGGAGTGAATGAACAGTGTTGCCTCTGGACGGGGATATTACATCACCAGGAAGAGGTTCAGCTCAAGAGGCAGCTGATGCCAAATTTTGGACTAAAACCCCTGAGGATTCCCAGAGGAGTTCACCAAAGCTGAACAGCCTCATCCTCAGACAGCCTCTCCCAAGGTTGGACCAGGCTCTCCTCAGCAGCAGGGTCCTTGGACCAGGCACATTCAGCGCCCTCTGTTTAGACCTCAGCGACCTGGGGGTGTGCGCACGCTGCCCTTCCCTTCCCCGGGGGTCCTGCCCCCCAGCCTCTGCCTGAAAAAGCAGCCTAGAGTGAAAGGCCATACTAGTTCTGCCTGTAATCCTAGCTACACAGGACGCTGAGATCTGAGGCTCGAAGTTCAAAGCCAGGCTAGGCATGAAAGTCTGTGAGACTTATCTCCAGTAAACTACTGAAAATCAACCAAACAAACAAAAAACCCAAAGTGGAGCTGTGGCTCAAGTGGTAGGTACTAGCCTGTGCAAAAAGCAGCTCAAGAACAGCACCCAGACCCTGAGTTCAAGCCCCAGGACTGGTTTGTTTGTTTTTAAGGAAAGCCATGCTTGAACCAGGATGGACCTTGAGGACCTTGGGCTGAGCGAATACATGTGACTCAGGAGGAAAAGCACTCACACGCGGTGCTTAGAACCGCCAGACCCCAGAGACAGTGGGTAGGGTGGAGGCAGCAGGAAGGGAAAGGGAAAAAGGAACTTTAGTTTGGGGAGAGGAGAACATTCTGGAGATGGATTGTGTTGATGGTTTCATGACGTATGAATAGGCGTAATATTCTTGAACTGTGCACTTAAACATGGCTAAATGGGAACATTTTGTGTCATGTGCATTTGTCCCATTAGGAAAAAGAGGGGGCTGTGGTGTGACTCCGTGGGGAAGTGCACGGGAGCATGGGGAAGGCCCTGGGTCCCCTCCCGTCGTGGGAAGGATGAAGGAGGCCACTGTATCGGCAATCGGATTAATTATTAGCCCAAGTGTTCTCCTCAGGACCTCTGCTCCCTTCTCACGCAAGGGCCACAGCTGCTCAAAAGGCTGGGGAACCTTTAGAGGACTTTGGAAGCTGAAAGAGCAGGGTCATAAAGTTTTATCAGCATCACAGCCACAGCCAACCCTTGCCACCCTCAGAGGGCAGGGGTCTGCCGTGTCCACCTCCGCCTGGCTGGGTCTGGACAGAACCCTGAACCCTCTTCAAGGTTGAAATTAATCATTATCCCCACGGGGACACCCTCGTGGCCATGGCGAAGAGTAGGCTCTTCCCTCTCGGCAGGCCTGAAACTCCAAGGTCAGGTGACCCTGCTGGTCTCCTCAGTGTTGCTAGTGCCTCTCACAGCCAGGACAAAGCCTGGGGGGCAGCAGCCAGGTGACCCCCGAAGCAAATGGCCTTGAGAGCACACAGAGCCCTCCTTGGGGGAGGCTGCTCAGGAGACCCTGCTACCCTGTAAGGGTGGGAGTGTGCTGGGGTGGGTGTGCTGGTTGCCCAGGCCCTGGGGTGGGTACTTCTGTTGCACTGGAGCCCTTTCCTGGCCTGGCTCCACCCTCTTCTTCTTTATATAGCCACAAGGCCCAGGGACCCTGTTCATCCACTCCTTGGGCTCCTAACAGCCCCACAGCCCCCTCCTACCCGGGATGCATGCAGGCCCGGGGTGCTCTGCAAGCAGCTCTGGGGAGCTCACTGACCCGGTCCGTCAAGCCGACTGCCCCCACCCTCTGCTCACGCTTCACCTCCTCAAAACCCTGGTGGCCCACGTTCCTCCCTTTGAGCACTCAGTGAGCAGCTGAACGGACTCCTGGCTTGGCCACTCTGGCCACCCTGTGACCCAGACTCTGCTCCTGGCCAACGTGGGCCTGGGCCTCCTCCTCTGCGAATGGGCATTTCCTACTTTCTCAGGCAGTTGTGAGTTTGACTACTGACACATTGAAGGCTGTACCTGAATGAGGCTCAACTTCCTGCCTCACACTACATGAATCAACTCAAATTAACTCAAAATGGACCAAAGACACATATCCAATAGCTAAATCCATAAGACTCAATAAAAAATTTTGTGATCTGCGGTTTGACGGTAAATTCTTCAATATGACATTCAAAGCATGAACTACAAAAGAGAAAAGATAAATTGTGTCTCACCAGGATTGAGACCTTTGGTGCATCAAAGG